CGGCTAACTAAGGGAACTGGGGAGGAGTCCGGTGACATCGTTGTCCGTGACGTCACCGGACTCCTCCCCCCTTCCCTTCGTTAGCCGACAGTGCTGTGGCCAGGCGTACATGGATAGCCATAGCAGCCCAGGGAAGTATTATGGGGGGCAGTGTCACAACGCAGCTTTTCCAAAGATGCGTTGCAAAGAAGGTTGAAATATGTAGCTGGATGACTGAGATGTGCAACTCTGCCTCTACCTGTGACAGCTGTCAGTAGCTCGGGGTGGGATCACTGAGTGGAGCCCAATCAAACCATTTGCTATGGGGCCCCTGTTGATTTGTAGTTACACCGCTGCTGATGGCTACACACAGACTTTTAACTGACTCATTTCTGCCCTGCATTTGTTTTAGCAGCAGGTGAGGACTGTGGTGAATCCCAAGCAGAACCTTCTCAATTCACAATACTACGTTTGAGTAGATTGCAAGCACGTCTCCACATTGTTCTGTATAAATTGAAAAAAAATAAACCCTGTTTTTTGTATTTGTGAATGTTCACTAATTATCAAATATTAGAATAAATGTTATATATAATATTTACCACTGACTAATGCAGAGTTGCAATTCAAGCAGATCAGGTAAAAGTAGTTGGATCTGTATGTGCGTTATAATTAATCGAAATTAGTCGATTAATCGATTTTAAAAATTGATCGAACACGAAAATTGTAATCAGTACCAGCCCTAATATATATACAGTGAGGAAATCCCCTGCAGATTTTGTACGTTTTGCCCACTTACAAAGAAATTACAGTTCTATAATTTTTTATCATAGGTGTATTTTATATGATAGAGACAGAATATCAACCAAAAATCCAGAAAAAACACATGATACAAATGTAATAAATTGAGTTGCAGTTCAATAATTCTGGCTCCTCCCACAGACTGGCTATGTGGTACACAGATTAGTCCTGTCAATTTATTATTTGCAGATTATTCGCAAATGGAAGGAATACTAAATAATCATGAGTCACCCTCGGTCTGGAGCTCCATGCAAGATTTTGCCTCATGGGATAAGGATGATCATGAGAAAAGTGCGGAATCAGCCCAGAACTACACGGGAGGAGCTTGTGAATGTCAAGGCAGTTGGGACCACAGTCACCAAACAAACCATTGGTAACACAATACACCGCCATGGACTGAGACCCTGCAGCGCCCACAGGGTCCCCCTCCTCAAGAAGGCACATGTACAGGCCAGTCTGAAGTTTGCCAATGAACATCTAAATGATTCAGAGAAGGATTGGGAGAAAGTGCTGTGGTCAGATGGGACCAAAATTGAGTTCTTTGACATTAACTCGACTCGGCGTGTTTGGAGGAAGAAAGATGCTGACTATGACCCTAAGAACACCATCCCTACAGTCAAGCACGGAGGTGGAAACATTATGCTTTGGGGCTGTTTCTCTGCTAAAGGTACAGGCCAACTTTGCCGCATTGGGGGGGGCCAATGGACGGGGCCATGCATTGTAAAATCTTGGATGAGAGCCTCCTTCCCTCAGCCAGAACACTGAAGATGGGTCGTGGATGGGTCTTTCAGCATGACAATGACCCAAAACATACCACCAAAGCAACAAAGCAGTGGCTCAAGAAGAAGCAAAATAAGGTCATGGAGTGGCCTAGTCAGTCTCCAGACCTTAATCCTATAAAACATTTATGGAGGGAGCTGAAACTTGTTGCCAAGCGACAGCCAAGAAACCTTAAGAATTTAGAGAAGATCTGTAAAGAAGAGTGGACCAAAATCCCTCCTGAGATGTGTGCAAGCCTGGTAACCAACTACAAGAAACATCTTACCTCTGTGCTTGCCAGCATGGGTTTCTCCACCAAGTATTAAATCATGTTTCGCTTGAGGATCAAATACTTATTGTATCATGTGTTTTTTCTGGATTTTTGGTTGGTATTCTGTCTCTATAACTGCACCTATGTTAAAAAATATAGACCTTTCATTTTTCTGTAAGTGGGCAAATTTACAAAATCTGCAGGGGATCAAATCATTATTTTCCACACTGTATATGGTATATTATGAATCTAAATCTGTTGAAATTCATTTAAAGTGAAGCTGCGCAAGACAAAGCTAAAACATCTCATAAATACCTACCCTCTGCTGCCTATAATCACCTTCCCTTTGATCCCCTGCTGCTCCAATTGCCCATCTGGAGTCAGAGTAAAGGTACTTCCAGGTATGGTAATCCTATAATTCTTATATGAGGCAGCACTGGGTGCCTAGTGTCCAGTCGCCAAGGTCAAGGGCTGTCATGTAAGGGCAAAAAGCCCTCCATTTACTCCCCCGAGAAAAAGCCCTATATAAATTACCTTCTGGCTGAAGCTGAAGTGGCTGAAGAGTGAAGAGAATGTGGGTGTATGTGCAGGCAAAAGCTTTTATGTAAGCCTGTTGCTTTGCTCTGCATGCACAAAGCACAACTTATTTTTGTGTGTGTTTCCTGGCTTAATGATTGCCTTTTTCTAGCTCAGTACAGTCTTGCCCACAGCACTGGAAAATTAAAAAGAGGTTACACAGAACCATTTGACCTAAGGCTGCTGTCCCAGAAGCACTATGAAAAGCCATCCAAACATGAATATATAAAAATCTGATTAAAAGTAAACTGAGTGTACATTTTGATTTTAGCACAGATGCTTGTTGGCTATCACTTGTAGTAAACTGATTTCAGTTAATCAGTACAGCAGATATATGATTAAAGAAGAAATCCAGGAAAATAAAAAACTTACCCTTGCAGTGGGCTACCCCTGGACTGCAAGGTTTAAGTGCTTTCTTTGTCTAGGGGATTCAAGTAAAGCAGATTTACTTACCTGATCCTTGGTTCCTGCTGGCTTGCTCAGGGCTGCTAGACTGGTCTTCACAGCCTCTTCTCCCCTGGGCTCCGGCGGTCTAAGGACCACTGATGTCATCACGTCTTATGCAGCTCTTCCCTACAGAGCTACTACCTCTTGTATCTCTAAAGGTGCCCATACACCTTGCGATTATCGTACGATAATCGCGGGAAACCTCGCGATCGTACGATAATCGCAAGGTGTTTGGAAGGCGTGCAACCGTTTTTACTGTACGGTCGCACGTCTTTTGTCGAACCAGCACGCTAGAAAACCCGCCAAGAATCGTGCGATTCTCGGCGAGGTAGTGGCCTGCTCGTTCGACAACTGCAGAACGGGCCGGTGTGCGCACGCTCAGCATTGCGGTCATCGGAAGCCCGCCCGCAAGTATTAAAAGCTCGCAAGTACGATCTGCCTGTCCAAGATGGGCAGATCGTACGAGCTTTTAATAAGCTTACAACCATCGCAAGACAAAAGTCTTGCGATGGTCGTAAGGTGTATGGGCACCTTTAGCCTTCCCTGTTAGATTGTAAGCTCTCACGGACAGGGCCCTCCTAACCATCTTGTCATGAATTGTATTCTAACTGTACTGCATTCCTTTATATTATAAAGCACTGTGCAAACTTTTGACGCTATATAAATTCTGTATAATAGGAATGTTCAAAACTAAAAAAAAAATGACTAAAGATGTTTTTGTAACACTGTTCTAGTCAAACTGTATTTCTAAATACATGGAACTTGTATTAGAGCATTCTGTAATGCAGAAATATATATTTAATCGTGTAGGTGGCACCTCTCCTGCCAAAACAATGATATATTGGTAGCTCCCATATGCACGTCTGCCACACATTTCTTTTATATATACAGAAAATGAAGGAATGATCATAAATAAATAAAATAAGAAGGTTCTATTGGGCATTATCATGATTCAGTTTTCTCTGTCTGAAATGAATACCAAAAGAGAATATTACATTTTCTGTTCAATCTAACAAATGTTTTAAAAGTTTTTAAAAGATAAAAACAAGTTAGATCACCAAGTATTAGTGAATTGACTAATGCACCTGATGGGGCAGCATAGGGTGAAATGTTACTCTCTGGATTTAGGGAGATAGAAACAAAGATGTTGATTTCTCCTGTAATATTAAAATGATAAAATACAGCCAAGTCCGGCATCGAATTACAAAATTGTCAGAAAGCAGGACCTGGAAAAGAAGAGGGTTTACTCGCCTGTCCCACCACTGGTTCCTCTGATCTTCACTCTGCTCAAGAGCTATGTCCTTTCCATACATTGCACAATAAATTAGAATATAAGCACCTAAAAAAGTGCACCTTAGCATGTCCTAGTTCTAATTTGACACAAAACTAAATCTGACACTTTGGTCGCAAAACAGATCGAAAGAGTCATGCTAATATTTTTGCACGCAAATTACATATTATTTCATACACAACAGCTTTAATTAATATTCCTCAGTGTCTCTGCTGCACCCACATCCCAATCTCAGCCCAGTTGAGTTCTCTTGTGCTGGACTATAGAACACACACCCCCTCCTCATCTCCATAACATATAGGACAGGTGTTCTGTAGTCCAAAAGGAGAACTAGGCAGGGCAGTTTCACCTTTCTTACGACGTTCTGGTGAAAAAAATAATCATTTTTAAAAAACTCTGAATATGCAAGAATATTATTCCCATTTTTTTTATACCATTTTTGATTTGTTTTTAAAGTAGCATGGAAGCATTTAGCACAATTCAGTTTGACTTACTGGCAAAACTTGGACAGGCTTCTTTAGCATCCTGATTTCCTGATGACAGTAAAATAAAATGTGTGAGCACAAATTAATTCACAGTGAAAAACATTTAAAATTTTCTGTCTCTAGTATATAATCTTTATCCACCATCAATTTTGTCAGCTCAGAAGAAAATTCCACTTTTATGGCTCATGCACACAGCCTTATGAAAATATGGCCTTTAGTATGCAGAATCACGCTGGCAGAAGCTGGCAGCAAGATTCTGCATAAAAAGTGAACTGTGCAACGTTTACACACATACATCGTATAGCCCAAAGGTGCCCTATTGGCTGCTAGGATGCTAGGTGGCTCAAGCATTCTAGCAACGAAGGACTCTAGGCAGCAATAAAGCACTTGCATCCTAACAACCAAAGACTCTAGGCAGCTGAAGCCACCTGCATGCTAGCAACCAAAGACTCTAGGCAACTGGAGCCACCTGCATGCTAGCAAAAAAATGACTCTAGGCAGATGGAGCCACCTGCATCCTAGGGACAAAAGACTCTAGGCAGCTGGAGCCACCTGCATCCTAGGAACAAAAGACTAGGCAGCTGGAGCCACCTGCATGCTAGCAACCAAAGACTCTAGGCAGCTGGAGCCCCCTGCATGCTAGCAAAAAAATTACTCTAGGCAGCTGGAGCCACCTGCATCCTAGCCAAAAAGACTCTAGGCAGCTGGAGCCTCCTGCATCCTAGCAACAAAAGGTTATAGGCAGCTGGAGCCGTTTGCATCCTAGCAACAAAAGGTTCTAGGCAGCTGGAGCCTCCTGCATCCTAGCAACAAAAGGTTCTAGGCAGCTGGAGCCGCTTGCATCCTAGCAAAAAAAGACTCTAGGCAGCTGGAGCCTCCTGCATCCTAGCAACAAAAGATTCTAGGCAGCCGGAGCCGCTTGCATCCTAGCAAAAAAAGACTTTAAGCAGCTTGAGCCGCTTGCATCCTAACAACCAAAGACTCTAGGCAGCTGAAGCCACCTGCATGCTAGAAACCAAAGACTCTAGGCAGCTGGAGCCCCCTGCATCATAACAACCAAAGAATCTAGGCAGCTGGAGCCCGCTGCATCCTAGCAACCAAAGACTCTAGGCAGCTGGAGCCCGCTGCATCCTAGCAACCAAAGACTCTAGGCAGCTGGAGCCCCCTGCATCATAGAAACCGAATAATCTAGGCAGCTGGAGCCCCCTGCATCCTAGCAACCAAAGACTCTAGGCAGCTGGAGCCACCTGCATGCTAGCAACCAAAGACTCTAGGCAGCTGGAGCCCCCTGCATCCTAGCAACCAAATACTCTAGGCAACTGGAGCCCGCTGCATCCTAGCAACCAAAGACTCTAGGCAGCTGGAGCCCCCTGCATCCTAGCAACCAAAGACTCTAGGCAGCTGGAGCCACCTGCATGCTAGCAACCAAAGACTCTAGGCAGCTGGAGCCCCCTGCATCATAGCAAACCAAAGACTCTAGGCAGCTGGGGCCTCCTGCATCCTAACAACAAAAGGTTCTAGGCAGCTGGAGCCGCTTGCATCCTAGCAAAAAAAGACTCTAGGCAGCTGGAGCCTCCTGCATCCTAGCAACAAAAGATTCTAGGCAGCCGGAGCCGCTTGCATCCTAGCAAAAAAAGACTTTAAGCAGCTTGAGCCGCTTGCATCCTAACAACCAAAGACTCTAGGCAGCTGAAGCCACCTGCATGCTAGAAACCAAAGACTCTAGGCAGCTGGAGCCCCCTGCATCCTAGCAAAAAAAGACTCTAGGCAGCTGAAGTCGCCTGCATCCTAGCAACAAAAGACTTTAAGCAGCTTGAGCCGCTTGCATCCTAACAAGCAAAGACTCTAGGCAGCTGGAGCCTGCATCCTAGCAACAAATGATGCTGGGCAGTCACTGCCATCTATCATCCTATGTTGACAGGCTGCTCCAATAGCATGCATTTGTGCTCTATACTGTACGTATTGTATGTAAGCAAAGACACAAATAATTACATGTGTACTGGGTAAAATGTGGTCATACTTTAGATGCAGAATTTTCTATTATGAGCATAGGCCCATGGAAAATAATGTACCTGCGATCATATCTTAAAATTAAAAAAAAAAAAATGTACTAATAAAAAGCACTGTTTACAGCCGTGTGCATGACCCCTAATTCTTTAAATTAAACCCTGCTTTAAATGTTTCTAAAACATTTTGCTACAAATTTCCGGCCTTTTCCAAAGAATGCAGTTAATCAGTAGAACAGCGCTTAACACTGCAAACTCAATCAATCATAATAAATGTGTATTAATACAAAGTGTAAAAACATTCTTTACTTTTTCTTGTGCACAACACTATTTATATTAAAGAAGAACTCCAGGGAAATGTTCTATTAACCTTTACAGTGGGGCTACCCTCCACCCTGCAAGGGTTAAGTGCTTGTATTGGTCTAGGCATGAAAATAACAGAGTTGTACTCACCCAAACCTTGGACCCAGCTTGGTGTTAGACCAGTCCCTGGAGCATCTCTTCCCCTCTGAGGCAGCGGTCCAAGGTCCTGTGAGTCATCACGTTATATAGACTGTGTGCAGGACATGGGGACGCCAAGGGACATTCCATCGCTGCAGCAAAGGAAAAGAGAGGCTGCAGGGAGCACCAGCCAGCTTTTCCTCCCTGGACCAAAATGAGCACTTAACCCTTGCAGGGGGGTTCATAAAAAAATAAAAACTTAACCCTTGCAGTCCTACTGCAAGGGTTAATAAAAACAATTCCCAGGCATTTTGCTTTAAGAGAAATAGAGCATTAAGTTTTCTGAAATTTATATATTTTTTCATTTCCAAAGATGTTCTCACATGGTGTGCCCTGTGCTGCTTCTGAGCGTTTAAAGATTTCATTTTGGAATGTAAAATCTGTAATGCACTGCTTCAGTAGCTGTCAAGTGTGCGCATGCTCAGTGTCAGTTAAGAGACTATGTTATATTTGAGAAGGAAAACTGGGGCAGTGTGGGTATACAGTCTACATCAGTGGTTCTCAACCTGTGTAACCTCAGGACCCACATTTGTCTTTGGTCATTAAGTTGTGGCCCAAGCTGTAGTGCAATGGAACGCATGGCTTTGTGGTACCGTGCGTTCCAACGCAGGAGATAAAACTGTGAGTGGGAGATGCGTCTGGGGTGTCATTCAAATGAATGGCAATGCACCTCCCACACACAGTAGGTGCGATTATGTGGTACAGTGCACAGTGTACTAGTGTGAACGGTCCCTCAAAAACACTGACAGACACACACAACCACAGACACAATCTCACTCACACATATACACTCCAAACATTTTTTACGAGAACTGGAGTGGTTCCTCAGCCTGGGTTCCAGTAAGGGCTGCTGTGCTGTGACGGAGCTCCATCCATATGTGCATTGCTTGTACAACTCCCTTGCAAACCCCGTAGAGGTGCCGGGAGCCAGAATGTGACATCACTTCGGTCCAGGCACCTCTACAGGACACACGAGGGATATAAGCAATGCATGTATGGAGGGAGCTCCCTCGCAGCCATAGCTCCAGCCCACTCCACTTCAAGCTGACACTTGGCACCGGGCAGCATATTTTAAATGGCTGCTCGGCGCCAGAACTGACAGTGTTGTGCTAGGGGGAGGCTGAGGAGCCTCTCACCTAGAAAAGTGGAAGGCACGTAGTGACCCACTGAATACGGGGTTGCGACCCACTTTTGGGTCATGACCCACCAGTTGAGAACCAAGGGTCTACATGCTCCAGAAATTAAAAAGGTGTTGTCACAATTGTACGCAGACTCTTTAAAGGAGCAATGTCCCTTTAAACTTTAAGCTAATGCATTGATATTAAACTTACGGTAGAAAATTTCACTTTTCAACATGACTTAGAATTATTCGAAGTCTTTGTCAGTATTTCCTCAGTTTACTTGACTGGCAAATCTTCTATAAACAGCAGCATCATTGTTGCCATGAACAGCCTGATCCTACCTCCAATGTGATGGTTGATATGGCCAACTTTGAAAATCACTCAGTAATGTTGCTGAAGGTTTTACTGTAGCATCGGGCAAGTAGCAGTACAAAAGGAAGGACAAATATCTACCCATCCCTTGTTTTGGGGAGACATCTGCCTTTCTATAGCCAGTCTAAATCATATTCTTTCTGTATTTCAGAAGCCCTGAAGTGAGATTGTGTTCTAGGGGACTAAAGTGAAAGGAGGAGGCATTGTGTGTTTAGAGCTAAGAACTACAAGCGTAAGGAAGGATTTTTACAGAAAAAGAAAAAAACTGTCATGAAATTATGGCAAATTTTGTGTCGCTCACATTTTATATATATTCATTCTTATGTATTCTTTATTCTGTCTGTGTCTCCGTTCCCTCACTTACTGTGTGGTCACTGTGGTAGTGTGAAGAGATCTTACCTGGAAGTGTGGACTGAAGTGTTTATCTACATTGACAACTCCGACTTCTTTTCCATCCCGGGCGATCACGGTGGTCACTGACTGCCCAGTTAAATGTGTGTGGAGCTGAGAAGCAAAGATGTGAATCCCATCTGGAGGAAGGGCCTGCAATCACAAGTGGCGGCCATTGTTAAATAGAATAAAAAAACATGACATAGGTTCTAACCCTTCCCTCATACATGTTGTTACGGCTGTCTGGTTGGTGAGATTTTTCCTTTTGTCCCAGGGGCCGTACAGGCCCAGTGGCAACTGAGAGAACAAAAATAAAATGCTGAGAAGGGCTCTAACCCTTCCACACTTTATTTAAAGTGAAACAATATGCTTTGACTGGGCTTGGGCCTTAGACTGCACACAGTATGATAGCAATTATCTAGTTCAATCAGCAACCATGGACAGCGTACTGTGCTTGGTAGGAACTGAACCCAAGAATGCAGCTATGCAAAAGTGCTAACCGCTTAGTAGCAAGCTGCTACAGTCACTAAGTGTTTCCAGTAAAGCTGGCACAATATTATCAAGCTTCTCAGGGTCAGATCAGGTGATATGCTAAATCCCCAGTTACGCTCATTGGGCATTTAACAGGTTAACTTTTTACTCACAGAGCCCCAACTGAAATTTGTTGTGATTCTTCCACTTTTTAAACCGTCTGCGGCAAACATGTCATTCTGCTTTAAACACCTGACTGTAATTATAACCTTAAAGCAGAAGAAAAAAATAAAATTCATGTTTTCCCCATGCAGCTCAATAATTAATGCCTCCCCGCTTCATTTAAATGTTTCTGCCTGAACGGACAAGGTGGGACGATCAAAGAAATGGGAAAGGATACAGAATCTTCCTTTCCAGCAAAATAATTTGGCTTTTCGGTAAAGACTTATGGAACTAGAAGACCCAGCATAATCTACTAGCCCAAACTATCCACTTGTAGTTTTCTAGTGGTTACATTACCTCTAATATTACACTTATAAGTTAACATTATCAGTTAACTGCATGCCCTGGCCCAATTAAAAAGCAGCATGTTCATTTGAAGGTCAGTCCATACAAAGCAGTATTTCCGTTCTTGGTAGAGGTTGGGGAGTTATCATCAACAAAATATATATATATTTTTTTTAGTCATTGTCACAGCATATTTTATTATTGTATTATATGCAGCAGTATTATGCGGCAGAATACCCTGTATATGTAAATAAAACCAAATAGACTAAACATTTATAATAATAAATTAATGATTATAAATAAAGCCATATATCATTCCAAACAATTAAAAGGAAAACGGATTTTAAAACAATGAGTACAAACAGTATAGCCATAAAAGTTTATACATTAAGCTGTTTAGTGATTTTATGTTTTTATCTATATTGAATAAATAAAGAGAACTAGTCAGTCAGGCTTGGACCAAAACTTAATTAATCATTCCTAAATTATTTTAATGTGCAGGCTTACTAAGTTTTAATATGCGTCTCCAGGGCCATCCCTATAATGAGGCAGATTGGGGCTACTGCCTCAGGCAGCATCTCTTGGGTCATGGGGGCGGGGTCCACTGCCTGCTGCCCCCTTTCTGGCCAAAAGGATCCTGGGCAGACCGTCCCAGGTTGCTAAGAGCGAGGCGGGGAGATGTGTAAGGGCCATACACATCTCTCCGCCCCGCTCTTAGCAACCTGGGACACTCTGGCCGGCGTCCCACTCAGCCCCTGGCAACCAGTGATGTCACTGCCCAGGAGATGGGCGGGACGCCGACCAGAGCCATGCACAACCACCATCCTCCTTCAGGTTAGCGCGCACCACCACCACCACCTCCTTCCCCTTACCACAGGAGACGAAAAGGCTAGGGACAGCCCTCTGTGTTTCTTTATGTTAAGTGCTTTGAGGATGACAATTGTTGTTTTGTCAACCTCCTGATTTCAAATTGATTACATATGCTGCCTCCCAGTTCATGGGTGTGCTCAATGGCATCGACTATGGGAAGTTATTATCGGGATGAGATCAGAAAGCTGACAGAACAGCAACTGTTAGACCTTAAGGACTTTTAGCTCCAGAGCCATCCTCAGAGGCAGGAGGTAAAGCCACAAGCCACATGGGGTGGGGGGGAGTGACGCGGCATGTTAGAGGGCCCCCTGCTGGTGCTTCCCGAGCACCTCCTTGACAGGCAGCGAGCAGCGGCCGCACCGATCATAGAGCCGTCGGATGCGGCGGGCGGCCGTGTGCAAGTGGCAGCGGGGGTCAAGGGCCCATTCGAGGTGGCTTCAGAGAGGCCCGGGGGGCAATTGCCACCCTGCCCCCCGGCCCAGTCCGCCCCTGGAGGCAAATATGAATTTTTGATAAGTAAGCCCACACAGTTATATTAATGTTAATATTCATATTTTTGTAGAAGCTGAATCTTTGTTGGTTATCTTTGTTAAAGCCTGTCCTTACTGCCAAACCACAATGAGCTTTTGTCATCCAGTGCAACCAGATGGGCCTAATTTCTGTATTTTTAGCAAGGAGCTGGCCGAGTTGCAGGTCCCTGCCTTTGCGAGTCAGGCAGACTTCTCAGAAAGTAAAACAATGTAGTATGTAAGTAGAGGCAGAATCCAGGCCGAGGGCCGGCGGTCCCCAGGTGTCAGTGTAGTAGGAAATTAGTGACACGTCACTGACACTCCAGTCGGCGGTAGGAGATGAGGATTCTGCCTCTGAAAGCCACATTGCTCAGCGGGTGTGAATAATTCATGCTCACTTCCAGTTTACCTTGAAAGCAATGTGTCACGTTAAAGTTTGGATGTCTGGAGTTCTAAACATAATGTTGATATACAACCCTATGGGACTTTAGTGGTATCTATAATATTCATCAGAAATAGAAAATATAGAATCTATTTTGTAGTGATAACAATTTATAGATACTGCTGAAGTCCTATATTCCTGTCTGTCAATATTATGTTTAGAGATTGAAATAAGGACGTCGGTATCATTGTACATTACTGGTAAGGTCAAACCACAAAAACGAGTTACAAAGAGATGGATGGCAGGAGCCAATTGTGCCTCCCTCACTGAGTTTACCACAAACCATTGACTTTCAGGCTCAGCATCAAAAAAGATGTTGATCTACTTCTAACCAAGAGGACATTTAAACTTCTAAGTCCATAGGAGAGCACCCATGTCTGCAATAACCTGAGGATTCAAAAAACGTATGCAACCATGTTGTGCAGTAGCTCCATTCGTGGCAGGATGATCATGTGACTACACTGCGCATATTTGCAGTTATAGAGGATTATGGGATTGGGTTTTAAGGGAGCAATCATCATAGTTGAGCCGCTTTAGCCTCCAGTAGGATAGCTATACCAATAAATGGCGCTGGTAGCAATAACAGGGGATCCTGGGAAGTGATTAAAGATGAAATCTAGGAAGATACAAAATAAACACTATTTAATGCAGTTGTGTATTTACCGAATACCATAAAATGTATTTTATATACAGTTAGCATCAGTACCTGAATCTGTTTTGATATCAACCTCCTGTGTTCCCCTGCGCAGCAGCACATAGACTGTGAGATGGAGTCTCTGCTGTATGCACATGTGCTGACAGGAGAGGTAAGCAGAGTTGATGACTGTTCAATCAACAGGCTGGGTGTGGGGAGGGGACAACACTGTATTCCTCGACTTTAATAGAGAAAGTGGTGTCACCCTTGTAGCTGTGCTGTCTGGCCAAGTTGTATGAATCACAAAAGTTGCTGGACAGAATTGGAAAATTCTTTTCCTGCTCTTACATACAGAAGTATGTCAAATAGTGTGTGTGGGACAAATGGGCAATGACTCGCAGCTTGTTAGGGTGACAAGTATTGCCTTTATTTATTAGTTGCTCTCTTATTACATGAAAAGGAGTTAATAGTTTTAAAGAAAACAAGTACTAAAAAATACAGTGGCTGCCAATACTGACCTACTGTGAGAAATGCTAGTTGTCTGGCTGTCTCTGACTTTGGTTGTTTGATATTCAAACAAGTATAGTCAAAGGTCTTAATATGCATGCTTCAGTGATTTAGAAACAACTGAAGCCATTGGATAGGCATGATAGCTAGGCAATGTGCATTTTCACAAGCAGAAGTCAGCTGTGGCAGCTTACATACAACAGTTCTCTCAGTACAGGTTTCCTTTAATTTATTGTTTTAAGTGATTCCCATGGCTTATCATTTTAAAACAAACGTTCATTTTCTACTCAGAGCAGACTTTTCCTTTAAACCCTTCAATATTTTCAAGCGCATTTGCCTCTGTGTGACAAACAACTCCCTCCTCCTGACTCCGCAATTAATTGTTACAGGCAAAGTTTTCTGTTCCAATAAAGAGATAAGTCAAAGCCATCAAACAACAAACAGATCTGCTATGTCCCGGCATGAATACATATCAAAGATTCATCACCGCTTGTGTTTCATGAGCAAGAACTGCAATCATCCGCCAAGTATTCCCTGTCAGCTCGCATTGGCGTAAATATGCAACTTGTTCTGATCTGCTGCAGGTGGAGGGGGAATTAACCCCGTGTATGATACAAAGTTTGCAATTTCTTAGCACTTAGCTCTGCCACCCAGAGAATCAAATAAAGAGGATTGAATAAAATTGCTTCTAAAGGTGCCGGTACACTGCGCGATTATCGTACGATAATCGCGGGAAATCCCGCAATCGTACGATAATCGCAAAGTGTATGGAAGGCGTGCGACCGTTTCTACTGTGCGGTCACACGACTTTTGTATTTCGAGCACATTCGAAAACGAGCCGAGAAGCGAATGATTTTTGGCTGGTTTGTAGTATGATCGTGAGATAACTGCCACACGGGCCGGTGTGCACAAGTTCAGCATTGCGGTCATCGGAAGCCTGTCCCTCAGATTATCGCAAGTGCAATCTGCCTGTCCAAGATGGGCAGATCGTACGTTTTTAAATTACTTTACAACCCTCGCAAGACCCAAGAAGGGTTGTAAAGTGTATGGCCACCTTTAGGCTTCAGCAAAAGCAGACATGTCACCTGCATAAATTGGCAAACATATGTAGAAGCCACATACCATCATGGTGCCTCTACAGTGTGCTGGTCCTCTAATCCATGAAAGTACCAGCACTGGGATTTACAGTCGGGGGTACTTTATATTCAGCAAGCATCGGATACTCTTTTGCCTTCAGAACAGCCTGAATCCTTTTTTTTATGAAAAGCAGTCAACAAAACACTCAGTTGGTATTACAGGGACCCTATCATCAGAGAAACAAAGATGGTTCCACTCTCAGCCTCTCCTTTTGAAAGGCTCATTACCTTGAGAAAGGAGACCACAGTGTCTCCGAAACATCTGCATTTTAATTTTTACCCATTTTTATTGGAACTTGGACCTTAGTAAATTACAAGTAACTTTAAGAGTGCTGGCTATTTGTTCTCTTAGTCAGAAGTATCTGTCTAGAGGCACATTTTAATTGAGAAGCCTCAGAGAACAGCAGTCTCAGTCTTCAAGGTAAGAGTCTTATGGTGGCCACACAAGAATCACTATGAAGCATTGAGGTACACAACCAGCTCATACAAAATGAACAGACATGCCTTGATGCATGAAAATAGGTGTGTGATAATGCACGCACAAGTGTGAAGGGGCCCTTGGTCTTCCACAATATTACATCATTACATTTATTATAGGTAGCCATTAAAAGGGATTGTTTGGATTTTTCTTATTTCTTTTTTTACCTGCGTGAAACTGCGGCAAGAAAGTTTTATTTCCCGACAGATTTTGGGTGCCTGGTTCACCTTCAAGTAACCCAGCACTTCTAAAATGTCCCATACCATGTATTAATCTATATTCATGAGACTCTGAAATATATCATTATGAACATGTGCTGCCTCCAGGTGTGAGAGTGAATTATCTCTTCCAGAGCAAAGTATCTACAATTCTGAAAAGCACAGCTGATTCCCAGAGGATGACGTTACACGAGGGCACATATTCTCACACATTGTTCTTTTTTAATGTGCACATAGTTACAGATTGATGGAGGCATGCATTTGCCTATACAAGGGTAGTAGGATTTTATTTAAGATATACAAAAAAGATCAGATCAGTTGTCTTTTTTTATTTCTTTTTGCTTAATCATTAGTTCCGCATATGAATAGCAAGATAATAAAGAACCGCTTACTGATAAAAAAATATGGAGGCTCAAATTGCTGACCTCCTTTTGAAAATGCTAGTTGGCTGACTGTCTCTGTTCTCAATATTTTCAGGGACCTGGAACAAGCATGCTGCCAGTAAAGGTGGGGGGGAGGGATAGTCAGAACTCCTGATCTGCATGCTAGTACTAGGTTTGTGACCCTGGAAGTATTGAAGGCTTTAGATCAAACTCAATTCACTTGGGGGCCACTGGACACATTTTCTTCTCCCATGGAGGCCCCTTGCCAAATTTCATAAAATGTCATACTTCAAAACAAAATTTAACTATAGACGGTACCAGTGTTAATGTCTGCGTGTGTTTATAATTTCAGCATATGTGTTTGTGATGGCTTCTTTGTATGCAATGTCAGTATATTTCTTTGTGATGGTTTGTGTGTGTATTATGAGGATTTCTGTGAGTGATGCCAGTATGGTTGTTAATGTTTCTGTGTGTGTGTTATTGTTTCTGTGTGTGTCATATCAGTATGTATACATGTGCATATGTGTGCAGTCAGGGCCGGATTAACAGCATCATGGGCCTGGTGTTGAGAATTTTGGTAGGCCTTTCTCGGCCGGTAGGTCGGACAGGAAGCAGCAAGCAAAGGCAGCTCTCTAATTAGGCGGGCGCTTGATTCTCATTCGGGCCCCGTGAGACCCTAGCGAGTGGCCACCCAATATGTTTGATTAGAGAGCCACCAGCACCTCTGCTTGATTGTGATTGGCTGGTGCAAGGATTTTTGCCTAGAGACGAAGGTGCAATTTTTGCTAGCACTGGCTCTGCTCACCTTTCTTACACTGCCACCTCTAGATCCTTTACCTGTCTCCAACTGCCATCCCTGGAGCCACCAGGGTCCCTTACCTGTCTCCTACTCCTGGGCCCCTCACCTGTCTCATACTCCCACCCCTAGGTTCCTCATTTGTGTCAGGAGCTCCATCCACTGCCAGCACCAGTGGGGGGAGGGAGGGGGGGTGGAGCAGAGCGACCTCAGTCCATGCAATCACTCAGCTCCAGGTGTGTGCTGCCCTCCTCCAGTCCCTGTCCTGCTGGGACTACTGGGGCTTCAGGAATGGTGAGTATCCAGGGCTCCAAAGACTGTCATTGCTGGGGCTCCAGGAATTGTGGGTACCCAGGGCTCCAGTTATTGTCACTGCTGGGGCTCCAGTTATTGTCACTGCTGGGGCTCCAGGGACTAGCTGTTTTCTTTCAGGGACTCAATGCTCTCTGCAGCGCTCTGCCACCTCTCGTGTGTCACTGCCTGTATGAGCTCCCAGCGCTGGCCATAATAGGAAAGGCAGTTTGGGGACACATTCCCTGGTGGTTGATTAGTACGGTCTGCACCTTTGGCTGGTGCAGACCTTACTAATCCTTCCTTTTGGCCCGCGCTCAGTGAAGCCTGCAGAGTGCACAACACTGACTCACACTGAGTTATGCTATCTGCATCAGACAGAGATGCAGACCGTGTAGCTGCTCCCCTAAGTTAGGTACTTGGTCCGTTTTTTTTAACAATGCCAACACACTCATATATGTTCTGGACAACCTCCCTTTCAGAGGTAAAGTGCTTTGGGAAAAGTAACAAAAATGGCAGCACTCAATATTCCTATCATAGCTGTGATTAAGGCCATTTGAAGGCAGAAATCAACGGTTGTCGAGGTACTGATGCTGATCAAATAAAGAATATCAAGTGCCGACATTTTGTTTCTTTTGGGAATGCACAACCTGCTTAAAGCAAACAAAATCCCTTAAAGGGGTAAAAAAGAAGGGGTGTGTAGGATGCCACATAGCCCCAGAAAGAAAGAGGTACAAATAGGCAATATGGGTTGTAGACCATCAGTGGTACTGGAGACCCTTTACTAGGTGTGCAGAATGGTAATTTCCACAGAAATTGCACTAAAGGGAGAGGGGGGGCGCTGTCCAACATTTTGCTATGGAGCCCTGTGATTTGTAGTACTGGTACTGTACATATGAACAGGAACTGCGGCAATGTTACACTAACTCATCAACTTGTGGCAATGATTAATATGCCATTAATACTTGGGATCATTGTGGAATAAATGAATCATGTTGTTATCTAGGGAAATTGAAAGTGATACAAGGGGAAATTGCAGCAATGATATATGAGCTAAACCAGCAGCATCAATATATTCTCTGTGCTTAACCTGGGGCAATTATATACAAGCATGGTTAATAGAAGTATCAATCTCATATTATTGTTTCTTTCATTTAAAGCCAAATACCTGAAACACGTCTGTAAACTGTCTTACCTACGAACACTAAACATTTGCACTTCTGTTCAGGCAGTCTTGAGATTCAGGTACCCCTGTTAGACTATACAGCCAGTCAATTATCTCACTTTTCTGCACTGCTATTATACAATACAGCTTGGTCGCTGATCTGCCCTCTACTGGCTGCCAAGGCAATGAAAGAAGCATCACCACACTACAGTAAGGCATCGAGCTATGGAAAGCAGAGGAATGAGCGGAAGGCCTGCATGACAAGGCTGGGAAGGGGAACGAGGACAGGAAAGGGTTAAGGAGTGATAGAAGAAAGGGTATAGAAAGGTCACTTACTTGATTGGTGGAGGGGGTGGTCCAGGAGGGGCTTCAGGAAAGTTAGCCAGGAAGGGGGAGTCCGGAAGGTCAGTTGGGAGTCCTGCAAGATAGGAAGAACTTCCCACCCACCCGCCCCATAGGAGGTGGTCTATGTTTCTGGATATTTGTCACAGCTGGGGGTTGGCGGTTTGGATCCTTGGAGGCAGTGGTTAGTGGGTACATATCTGGACGGGGAACCCATCCGTGGTATGGGTGTCCTCCAGTAGTCGAACGGTCAGATTGGTATGACCGGTAAATATTGGACCAACGTGTGTCTGCGGGCAATCTAGTTACGTCCCCGAGGCGGTGTATGGCGGCTGGGGACATTCAGTTACAGAAAGGTGCCCGCAGATACTGGTCCAGTTATGGAGTACAATTGCCTTCAAGGACCTTGAAACCAAACAAGTTGGTACAGGTGTTTGGTTGTTAATATTGTTAATATGGTTATTTATAATGTTATTTATAAGTGTTTTTTAATAAAAGGCTGCTGTGGCCATTTAAATTCCCATTGTTGTGTGGTGTAGTTATTGGGAAGTGGGTAATGTAAAAGGGACCTCTGAGCAACCTAAGTCATGAGATCATCATGCTTCTCCCTCCTCCTTTCAGCAAGCTCCCCACTGTAGGCTGAATGCACTATACAATGCAGTACAGCCAGAGTGGCTCAGGGATTTCTCTAGTCCGGCTCTGCAGTGGATAACAGGAGGCTAATATAATGAAAAATGTGGGTGTTTATTCTACTTATAATTAAAAATAAACTGAATTGCTTAAGAAAAAAGAATACATTTCTGGATTGGTTTTCCTTTATCTCTACCTAATTTCTGCTGTGCTTCTTCAACTGCTCCCAACTAAAAGCAGAATGCTGCAACTTTAATGGCATTGCCATTTTTTATACAAAGAATAGGAGTGGCATGCAGAAAATTGCGCTCACCGTCTCAGTGCATTTATCCGTGCAGTATCCGGTAAGTTGGAATGACTTTTGCCGTGGAGGAATAGCCATCACCGGTGTATACACCAATCCTAGCTCCATTATGCCGGCATCAAACTTTCGCAGAGACGGCGTGTAATATAGGCGGATGCCTGATGAGTCACTCAGACCTGAGGGAAGATGACATTGAAAATTGAATTTGAGGTGTTTATACTTTTAAAGAATACAAGTGATAGTTGGGATCGAAGACACACTCCAGTCAAACATAACATTTGACATGGCACAAGTGGGGTTGACCCATCATCCTAACATTCATACTGTGCTCCTGGCTGTTCCACTAGCTGAATTGTTATAGTAGTTCTTACATTCATCTTATTACTGGCCCTAAAGAAAAGGCAGCCAGTGTGTTCCCTGGTTTCTTGCCCCACTCTCTGTAGCGGCTGCACATCACAGGATCATATGATTACATGCTTTTGCTCTGCTTATAAACACTGTGAGACATTTTCTGGATCTAGATACAATGGACCATATTAAATTCAGATGAAATCTTACATGACTGGACTCATTTTCTGCTTCTGTGCTCCAATCTGGTCAGAAGGTTGAAGTCTTTTTTTAAGGCTGAATTATACATATATAGGAGTTGTTTTAACTGACAAACAGAGTTGCGCTTCTGTCCATTCAGTCCTGGGATTTACACAGCTCTGTCATACAGCACAACCCACAATCAGGGCAGGAGACCCAATTTTTCCCCTGCTGTACTTACGTAACACTTACAGGTCTGAAAATGGAAGCAGAAGACTGATAAGCTCATCACTGTGCACTCTACTCCTATGAGCATGTTTCTTGCCCTGAAGCACAAGTAATTGGTTCCTTGTGCTGCATTCTGCTCTGCTGTACAGGGACTGCAAGATTCTGATATCAAGTCGCTTTCAGGTACTTACACTGCTTACATTTGTAGACATAAATGTAATGATGAATGAACGAATACAGAGCTGCAGTCAATTGTATCTTTCATGCTGTATATGCCTATCGTTCAGCTTTAAATATTTTTTGAGTAATACAAAGCAGTGGTGCCACAAGGGGGGTGCGTCCCACACCCGGGTGACACCATTCGAGGGGTTACACCAAAATGACTGACAGTCATTTTGGTGTCACCCCCTCTGAAAAGTCGGGCACTTGATCATGGACAGAGAGCCTGACAGTTTCAGGAGAGAGGAGGGGACCCAGCAGCATACCTTATCCCGCAGAGGGGAACATCCCCTCCTCTCTCTGCTGGCATCCATCACCCAGATGGCCACTGGCAGGCGTCAATAAGATGGGTGTGCATGCGCGATGGCATCATCACGCATGCGCGTGGTGAGATCACGCGCATGTGCAATGACGTCACTGCGGGGTGTCACCTGGTCTCCGCTCCGGGTGACACCCGGTCTCAGGAAGCCCCCGATACAAAGTGCTCTGGCACATTGTAGTGATCTGTCCCTTTCTGGAACCGTGACAGTTGTCAGTCGAACCTCAACCACCTGCTGTCCGGCCGTTGTAATTAAACGGCATCATGAATGCGGGTCGGTGTTTTTAGACGTTCGCTCCCACCCCGCTCGTGCACGCGGCGCAAACAAGTGGGAAATCTTCTTGAAATGTAAACAGCCAGCAATGGCTGTTTACATACAAGCGTTCCAGTGTCTCTAGAGACGCCCGATCGCTTGTATTTTGCATACATAAAATATTTCCTCAATATAATTATTTTACCTACAGATTTTACTTGTTTCTGGAATTTCTGGAATACTGAGAAAAAGTTGCATCTGTTGGGCCTAAAATAAGTGGAAAACACTGGTAGTGTAACAGAAGTCTTCACAGTATTTTCAGTGATTAGAGGAAGAAAGGTATTCCTTTTTTTTAAGGCAGGATGTCCCTGCGACTGAAATCTATAAATAACTCCAATGCCAAGCGCTTTGTGTGTCTCTCTGTACTGAGCGGGCAGGGAGGAGCTTGGCGCTATCAGCTGTGTGCCACCAGACACCCAGAGAAACCCACATCGCTTGCTGCTGATATTGCACACTCAGGACCAGAGATCTGCCAACAAGCTTACGCCTTGGGGTGGTAGTGATTGATTGAGACTGGAGGTTGGCAACAACAAAAATGAAAATCACCAAACTGACATTTGACAAAGGGGGAAAACTGGACTGTTAAACAGCAACCATTAGGCTGTTACATTTCATGAAGATCCAGCATTTGAAAGTATGGAAAAGTATTGGAATCCTCTGCACAGGGGATAAAAGAGAGAGTGGGGGAGGATGGTACCCTGGACCAATCAAGTGCCGCTATGCAGCACAGTGCTATCAATCTAACATGTTTCAGGAACTAGGGGCCCAGGAAATGTATTTAGGTAGCAAACAGAAGGGGGGTCAGTTTAGGAAAGACCTTGCTATGACATACTCAATTATTTATTGAAAAGCTGGAAGAGGGAGTAGGGGTAGCACAGGATGCTGCCAAGCTGCAAAAGTGGATAGTGGTATCACCCTTCTGGCTATGTAATCTGTGATGGCTTTTTAAATGAGAAGAGAATTACAAATGCTTCAGTAGCTGAAATAGTTCCCGTATTTATATAGTTGTTTGGCTGGAGTTCTGCTTTAAACACGTATATACCAAAAATAGAGTTACATTGTTATATTGCATACAAATGATTTAAAGTATGCAAGGTGCAAATGGACAAACAAATCTGTACAATATGAAAATATCTGTGCTCCTTCTGAGATTGGGGATGTACACCCCGTGGTTAACTGCGTATTGTTGTGTTTCAGAGTCACATAATTCCTCCTCCCTAATATTTGAAGCCATGCAAGAGTTAATTCCGTACCCGCTGGATTATATAAAGGACTGTCATTTTCTGATCGGGTATATGCAGAGGGTTGCTAGGTATTGCTGCGCAGCTATTTATAAACCCATTATGCCGCCGTTATCTTATGCAAAGACAGCTCATGTTGGGGTTAGAGAAAAATATATTTATTTTTGTTAAAAAAAAGGACTGATTTTCCTCCTCCTGAACAATTTTCCAATCTGCTTCAATGTCATCAGCTAAAGAAGACTGACAGCTGAACGATGAAATGGTTTGCAGAGATTTGTGAGAACACCAGCAGAGGAAGATGCTCTGCAGGGCACTGTAAGGTGGGCAGTCAGAACACAATGCTCTGCAGGGTAGTGTAAGGAGGCCAGTCAGGACATACAATGCTCTGCAGGGTACTGTAAGATGGGCATTTAGGACATACAATGCTCTACAGGGTACTCAAAAGGCGGGCAGTCAGGATGTAAACTACTCAGCAGTGTACTGTAAGGTGAGCAGTCTGGACACACAATGTGCAGCCATGACATACAGTGCTCTGCAGGGTACTGCAAGGTGTGCATACAGGACATGCTATGCTCTAAAGCAGTGTATCTCAAACTGTGTAACCTCAAGACCCACATTTGTCTTTGGTCATTAAGTTGTGACCCAAGCTGCAGTGTAATGGAACGCATGGCTTTGTGGTACCGTGCGTTCCAAAGCAGGCGATAAAACTGTGAGTGGGAGATGCGTTTGGGGTGCCATTCAAATGAATAGCAATGCACCTCCCACACACGGTAGGTGCGATTATGTGGTACAGTGTGTTAATCACAGGGGACTGTACGATTAACGCACTGTACTGGTGTGAACGGGCCCTCAAAAACACTGGCAGACACACACAACCACAGACACAATCTCCTTCACACATAAACACTTTTTTTTTAACGAGAACTGGAGTGGTTCCTCAGCCTGGGTTCCAGTGAGAGCTGCTGTGCTGTGCTGGAGCTCCATCCATATGTGCATTTCTTGTACAACTCCCTTGCAAACCCTGTAGAGGTGCCAGGAGCCAGAATATGACATCACTCCGGTCCAGGCACCTCTACAGGACACACGAGGGAGCTATAAGCAATGCACGTATGGAGGGTGCTCCCTTGCAGCCATAGCTCCAGCCCACTCCACTTCAAGCTGACACTCGGCACCCGGCAGCATATTTTAAATGGCTGCTCGGCGCCAGAACTGACAGTGTTGTGCTAGGGGGAAACTGAGGAGCCTCTCACCTAGAAAAGTGGAAGGCACGTGGTGACCCACTGAACACAGGCTCGCGACCCACTTTTGGGTCACGAACCCACAGTTGAGAACAAAGGCTCTACAGGCTACTATAAGGTGGGCAGTCAGGACATACAAAGCTCTGCAGGGTATTGTCGGGGGGCAGTCAAGACCCAATGATCTAATTGATTTATTAATGCAATAGATTATATGGATGAGCACCCTCCAAGAGCTGGCCCACAAGTACTGTCTGACAAAGAAGCTCTTTTGGCAAATGCAAGAACTGCCAGGTCACTGGTGTGGGCCTACTGCACACACTCCATCCCTACTTACAAGAACAGACAACAATGATTCACCTTTCAGCTCCAAAGGATTGTGATAATGCACTTCGAGCCGTAGGAACCTTGAAGACCTCGTTCCCCCAAATGCTAGGCCAGCATCTTGTGGGTAGTAAAACGGCTGAAATTGTCAAAAATGTCAGTTTTAGAATTCAGTTACATGAGAAGTTTGTTAACAGGAAAACTTAAAGAGAACCATTCATAACTGAGCATTGTGTATCATATTATTATAATAATGCAGGCTTACACATGAAAATTTTACATTTTATAGCTCACAAAATTCTGAAACAACCCCATTCAAGTGGGGGTGGTACCATCATCCGAATTATTATTTTCATCTGTTTGCCTCTATATAGTAATTTTTTTTGTCACTGCAACACAAGGCTATAGGAAAGCCAAAATCTTACAGTTGTCACTGGAAAAGAAGGCAGAGGAAGTCTTGGTCCAGTGACAACCAAGAGGGGATTTCCTCTCCCTTTGAAGAGATTGGCACTCATGCCCCATTGTCAGAGAAAGAAAATTAAGGGGAAATGTTACAGCTGTCCCCAGAAATAAAGGTGAGGGGAATTCTTCCAATGGGGACTTTTGTTCTGGGGACAACTTCTCTTCTCTTTGGGGGATTTCCTGTTTCATCAAGTGAGGGGAAATCACAATAGGAAAAAAAAATTACAGGTGTCCTAACAATTCCCTACTCAATCCAAAACAGAAAAAGGAAAAAAAACAAAACCAAACTATTGTCTTTACAGTCACCAGAAATACACATCATGGACACATCACTGGACTTGACCTCACTTTTGCCCCCATGGCCCAGGCGGCTAGGACGTGCCTGCAGTAGTTTATTCTTTCTGGTTTCATCTTGGAGTCGCAGGGCCCGCTGTAGTGGGGGATAGTGTCGTAGTCCTCGGAACACTGGAACACCTCCATGTGATGGACGATCGCCTCATGTCCTTTTGTAATCACCGGCTCATACTGCAGAAAAAGATTACTTTTATAAGAGCGCTGGTCACATGATCTCTGCCAGCAGATCGTGGGGCCAGCAGAATGTACAGGCAAAGCTGCCAAAAAGGCGTCTCTGCCTGAACACTGTCCTGTTACCGGCCCCTCAAGATCCAATATATTGGTGGAGGTCATTTGATCAATGTCTTGGCACAGGTCATGTGACTCAGAGCCAGCCAATACAGGATTCTAGTTATGTCAAAATTATATGTTTTCTTCAGCTGTTTCATTAAGTTTTAATTCTAGTGTGCAAGCTAAAGATTGTTACAATTATAGGTTTCATTTCTAGAGTTCTACAATGGAACCTAAAATGTTTCTGCAGATACAAATGTAAAACTAATGTAGTAATCATTTCATCGATGCGCTTAAATATTTTTGATGCTTTGCATTTATAAAAAATGTATAAGTATACAGGCCCATGGGGAAGAAGTGCAACACAGCGATTGTGTTTTATTGTTCATCTTTACTCAGTACAAATCTACCAGTCCGCTCTGACTAAAAGAGTATTGTTTGGAGTTAAGATTTTCTCTCCGTTGTTGATCAGGGAGGTTAATTGATTGCAGTAAAACAAAGGTAGACCTCCGAAGGAGAATCTACAAGCCACTACATGCCATGTTGGCACTGACAATACAATGTGACTTCCCTTTAAATCTTATAGTCAGCACATGCCTTTAGGCATCTGACCCTATTAGCAATTAAACAGCTAATTAAAATGGATGTCAGAATTTCAGAATGGCCACCTGACATCTGACAGGGATGTCTACCCAGCACCGGGACTGGCAAATTGTTAGATGTGGGATTCGCGCCTTCGAGCGTTTTTTTCATTTCTTGAAAGAATATTTGATGGCGCTGCGAGCACATGTGACAGGGAGCTCACGTCTGCCGTCTTCTATCCTACTTGTGTAATTATCAGACTAATTAGAATTCAGAGTCAACTGGGCACGCACACCAAGTGCTGTCACTGTACTTTCCCCATGGCAAAGACTCATTTTAAATAACACTCCGAGGGATGGCTTTACCGTGACTTGGCAGGTTGTCTGTACGGCAGCACAGAGATGATTGCTCTAGTAAACCTATGTGCTCCGCTGGCTTCATATTTACTGTTATATTTAGGAACTGTCACAGCGCCCGGTTAGGTTGGATCTCAGCTGCGGAAGACAAAGGAAGTGGTATGAGAGAAGGTGGTTCAGTCAGCGGATCCCGTTACACTCAGTGCGGCGGGATTACCGTGGGCATCATATACCACCTGGGGACTAGGAATGGGTAGGACCTATTTAGGCAATTTTGGGTTAATAACGGTAAGGGTAGCAATGGAAGTACGGGAAGGACCAGGTTGAGGAGGTAGCAGAGTAGTCACCTCTAATTCCAAGCATGCGCAGCAATTCTGAACAGGGTACTCCTAAATTGTCCCACAATACTAACATGCAATAATCAGCAGTATGAGTTATGCCAGGGTTAGAGTTCTCCTTAACTGTAACACAATACTAATTTGCATGAAGCAGCAGTTATGGTTAGAGCACACCTTAATGGTATGACAATCCTAATATGCAACAATCAGCAGTATGAGTTATGCCAGGTTAATGCCTCCAGAGGTTAAACGGAGATAGGCTCCAACAGTTCAGAGTGTTACCAGTGCAGGAACGACAAGCAACTATCACAGCTATTTGTTGAAGCCTTGCAGCAGAGGCAGCAGGTTCTTTGCCTCCACAGCCAGGTACTTGCGGTTAGATGTGGTCCCGATTGAAGGGGAGAGGTGTGCCGCCTGGTTGCACTGTTATGCTGTGTCCGGGTTCCAATGGGGAGCCGGTGTCAGAGCGGGGTCGTCTCCAGGCTGCAGGGAGACCGAGTGGTTTCGGCTATCGCAGAGGTTGCGGGTTCGCTGTCCGTCACTCGACGAACCAAATTAAGAGAACGCCGAGTGATCGGAACAGCTAGGTATTTATGTGCGGGGCTCCCCGTGGGAGGAGCACAGCGTCACCCCAGAGACGGCACGCCGCGGAAGCGAGGAGACGTGCCGGCCGAATCCATGACAGGAACCCCATTTTTTTTACTCAATATTTTGTGCCCACTTTTTTTTTATGGATTCCTTGTGTGGCATGTACAGAAAAAACACAACCCAAACTCAGCGCTGACCTGATTGCAACTGCCCGTTGTGCACAGTGCAGCTCATGCTGCCTTTGCTTAGCAGTGTGTTAGATGTATGTATAGTATGCAATCATACATGTAGGGTTCCTCTCTGGCTCCAGCTCTGTCCGGCAACCTGCCCAACTCACTGATGTCACTGGTTAACAGGAGCTAGGTGGGATGCCAGCCAGAGCGTCCCGCTCAGCTCCTGGCAACCAGTAACATCAGTGAGTCACAGGCTGCTAAGAGCCTAGAAAGACCTGCCACCCCACCCACGTGACCCAATGAGATGCTGCCTGAGGCAACCAACTTAGGCTGCCTCATTATGGGGGCGGCTCTGCATGCATGTACTTGGGCTGCCTCATTATGGGGGCGGCTCTGCATGCATGTACTTGGGGGTTAGCCATATAACTCATTACATATGCATTGCATATACATTCTTGTGTTCTGCTTTGCAGTGCTGCACAGTGCTACCCCTACCACCTGTCTGTCTGAATTCAAAGCATTGCACTTTCTAATGGCTGAGATGTTAAGCTCACCACACGCATTACAACCTAATTGTACAATCTCCTTTAGATCTACCAACAAGTATGTATTGCAGGAGCCTGTCTGACTGGTTTGGTAGTTCATGTAAGTCCTCATATTACATCGTTTTGGTAGCGCTAAAGATGATTGTACATACAGGTGAAACTCGAATAATTAGAATATCGTGCAAAGTTCATTTATTTCACTAATGCAACTTAAAAGGTGAAACTAATATATGAGAGAGACTCATTACATGCAAAGCAAGATAATTCAAGCCGTGATTTGTCATAATTGTGATGATTATGGCTTACAGCTCATGAAAACCCCAAGAACCCCAAATCCACAACCTCAAAAAAGTAGATTATTACATGCAATCAATAAAACAAGGATTGTACATAGAACAATATCGGACCTCTGAAAAGTACAAGCATGTATATGTACTCAGTACTTGGTTTGGGCCCCTTTTGCAGCACTTACTGCAATTACTTTTGCACGATATTCTAATTATTTGAGTTTCACCTGTACAGTAGATTGTGTAATCAGATTGTAACCTGTATTGTGACCCTTATCCCAGTGAAATACAGACAAACTCTAAAATAAGAATTCCCCAATTTGGTATATGTAATGTAGTAACAGAAATATGGTACAGCAAGAATGAAAAGTAAACATCATAATAACCACTCTAAACATGCGTTTTCTAAAAATACACTTTTGATTCACTCTAAGATAAAAGTGTTTCTGAGTTACCATGACAATGTGATGTTTGGGGAAGTGTTGAGGTAATTCGGTGATGTAGCACCAGTAAGTTGTCTCTTTATCTGGAATGACAACATCTGGAGCAAGAATGTCCATGGTCAGGACGTCGTTAGGGAGACGAGGTGTGCGGATCTCTGGCTTCAGCAGCTGCACTCGCTGCAGACCACGGTCGAGGGTGGAGATATTGATAGCTGACAAAGAATGAAAGGGCTTCTCCATTAGGGCGTAGATGAGGTGCACTGTTCCATCCTGAGAAGGAAGATTACAGATCGTAAGGGATCGCAAATTTGTATCCAATCAGGTAGGTCCTGTACTACAGTATAAGGAAGCTGGTAAATCTAAAGAAAAATTTACAATCAGATTGTAACGTGTATGGTCAGCTTAAACTTGTAGCAATCAAACCTTGAGAGAGTTTCTAACCCGTCCCCACTCTAATCAAAACAAAAAAAAAGTTTTGCCTAGCAATATGCTTTAATTATGATAATGTTGATTAAATTAGAACATCAATTTGCTAACTACGAGACGCTTTTTGACATTACATATAATTCCCCCAGCATGGTAGGCATCTCTTTTTTCCCTGTGGAAAGTTAGGTTTAACGCCTGGAAAAACACAAACCCTATATGGTTCCCTGTTGACTCCATTCTTTAAGTTTGGAATGAAGACAATACCTCAATGAGGTAATCTTTGGGGTCACATGTTGTGAAGGGTCTTTTGAAGACAAGGTAGAGGCCCTCTGGTGTCTTTTGGGCTGACAGCAGCTGATAGTCTTGGTGGGAGTCGATGTGCAGTCGGCCCTCCTTGTCACTCCAGGCATCCTAAGATTACAATATTAGAGTGTTATAACAATGCAAATTATGTAGATTGGACTAATACTCAAATATATCTCCTTGGTGTGGATAATTAAAATAATAATAGAAGGCATGAAATACGTACCTTTCCTGGAGAACATGCTATTTCAGGTTTCCTCCATTGCTGCTTACATAATCAAAAGCTCCAAATCAAAATTTCTATTGAAGGCGGCTCAGTGCTAAAATTTGCATATCTTTCCCTTCAGCAGAAATGTTATCAAATTTCAAGGCTTTTGGTTATGGAAACAGTACATGTGGGATCTTAAAATAGCATTTACTCCAGTAAGAGTATTCCAGACCCTCCGTTATTCTTTATGTATCTATCACAGTAAGACCATCAACATGGCTATAAGTTAAAGGAAACATGTAATAAGACAATTATGGAGACTTCCATTGCTGGCTTCTTATGAAAATGCTATTTGCTTGGCAGTTTCTGGTCTATGTACTTGACACCAAACAAACACGCAGTTAGGTGTTGTGTCCTGTAGTCTGGGAGGACGTGTGCATTATTACCAGTTCAAGAATCTATAAGACACATACAAACCTGCTTAGAACATCATAACAGCGTATAGAAAGTATTATACATGTAACAACTGTAAATGGTGACATCTACAGGCCAGAGGTTTGGACACCACACATTCCCCTCATAGTACATAAGAGTCTTTTTCTTCAATATTGAAAAACACTGCACTATGCATTTTACACACATCACATAATCCTTTATCCACACTGGAGGCCTTCTGATTCTTTAACTATGTGTAGGTGGTTTGGGTTCTTGGTCTCCAGTTGGGGAGTTATCAGTAGAACATGAAAATATCCTTCGCCCTCCTGAATAGTCCTCCTAACAGGTGCAAGAAGACTGGAATTCATATGCCTCCATCAGACAGAAGGTCCTCATTGACTTGTCATTCTAAGTGGATTGGAGAATTTGGATTGTCCTTGTTTCAATATACCAGGTTTCTTAACTCTACCTAGAGATCCAGGCTTAAAGTGTACTTCTCTCGTATCATGTTTCCAGTCAGTAGCCTTAGGTTTCATTTGCACTGTTCATTTAGATGCGGCCGCAGTACCTGTTCAAGTTAATGGTTACTGGACGCTGGATGCATCTATCCTGCATCCAGGAACAGTGATCTATTCCAACCCGCATGTAATCGTATCACATATGATTACATGCAAAGTGCCGCTCACAGATGTGACTGCTGTCACCTGGTCATCAACTTGAACAAGTACAGTGGCCACATCTAAATGGCCACTGTACTTGTTCAAGTTATATTTATTTATGCAACCTGTGGGCTGAATGCAAAAAAATATCATAGATTCTTCCATCCATGCTAAACAGTGTGGATGAACAAATCTCCCGCTGTGTGCTTTGTATGGATTGGCTGCAAGCATAGTTCGGCCGATGATTTTACAACATATACCTTCTGCAAATGTCGATCCAATGATCAACTTCTGTTGAGGGGACAGGGTTACCAATGGATTAAATTTCGGCCGATTCCTGCTAAATCAGTTAAAATCTGTTCCGTGTGTACAACGCTTTAGCAACTGATAATTTCAGAGTCACTGGACTTTGTGAGAGTTGTATGTCTGCAATATGAATTTTAGACCACATTTGTTTGCCATGTAGTAATTCAGCCGGTAACGCTTTTGTAGTTGCATGTCTAGTTGCTATGTATACATGTATACTATACATGTATAAACTTCTAAAAATTCTATGTAAGATTTGCACTCTGAAGAGCTCCTTTAAGGCTTCTGTTGTATCTTTGGATCTCTCCATTTGCAGGTTTTCAAACCCGGTTTGTATTGTATTTTGTAGTTAAATTGATTAGTTCTGCTGACCATCTGGCTATATACATTCCTGCTTGCTCTAGTTCTAGTTTGTGGTAAGCAATGTAGTTAAAGGACTATGGTTGGCCCACAAGGTAAACTTTCAACCCCAAAGGCATATTCTCCAATTTTCTATTGCCCAGAATGCTAGGTGTTCCTTTTCTACAGCAGAATACTTCATTTTTCTTCTGTAGAGTTCTAGATGCAAAAGCAACAGTTTTCTCTACCTGGTCTGCATGGCATTGTTTAAGGACCCCACCAAGACCATAGTCTAAAGCAGTGATTCTCAACTTGTGTAACCTCAGGACCCACATTTGTCCTTGGTCATTAAGTTGCAACCCAAGTCGCACTGCAATGGAACACACGACATTAGGGTACAGTGGGAGGGAGGTGCGTTTGGGGTACCATTCAAATGAATGGCAACGCAACACACCTCCCACACCAAAATTGATTGTTAGGTGCGATTGCACGGTACAGTTTAACACAATGTACTATTGTGAACAGGCTCTCAAAAACACTGACATACATTACATATACAGACACAATCTTACACACTCACATACATTCTCACATACACACTCCAAAAATGTTTTGATTTTTTTTAAGGTCCACCCAGTCTCCCTACCTTACGAGAACTGGAGTGGATCCTTAGCCTGAGGTCCAGTGTGGGCTGCTGTGCTGTGACAAAGCCAGAATGTGACATCACTCCGGTCCAGGCACCTCTACACAACACGTAAGGAAGCTGTAAGCAATGCACGTATGGATGGAGCTCCCTCGCTCCCATTTCACCTCAAGCTGACACTCGGCACTGGGCCGCATATTCTGAATGGTTGCTTGGCGCGAGAACTGACAGTGCTGCACTAGGAGGAGGCAGAGGAGCCTCTCACCTAGAAAAGTGGAAGGCATGCGGTGACCCACTGAACACGGGGTCGTGACCCACTTTTGGATCACGACCCACCAGTTGAGAACCAAGGGTCTAAAGCATCTGTACTAACAAGAGTAGGTAGAGAAGGACCAAATAATAGTAGTGCTGTTTAAATATTTCAAAGCTGTGCAATGACCATACTTGCAATTACACATAGTATTGTTCTCAATGGCTCCACAACTAAGGAATATATAACTTTAATAATATAAATGTGGAACACCATAAAGTAAGACATAAAAAAGCAAGTAAGGTATGAAAATAGGATAGTGCAGGTGAGTGAATCACAGCTTTCACATTCTCAGGATCAGGCCACCGTTTCTCTTGTGATGTAATGTGACTCAGAAATTACAGCTGCATTTGTCTAAAGAAGCATTTAGGAAGATTCAGTTTCAGTCCTACAGACTCAATGTGCTATAGTACAATTTAGGGTAATTGTTGTGACGATCTAGAGATGAGCCTTGCTTGCTATTTTGAAAAGCCAGTATGAAGAAAAAGTAATGGTGAAAATAAAACAGTTCTGGTTTAACCAATTATTTTTGGCATATAAATTGTTAATGGTTGTGTATAACTGGAGGAGATGATGGGGGTGGGGGTGTCCATTGCCTAAATACATTGTGCTAAAAGGTGGCTAAAAAGCTTTATCATCTTGAAATGTTGGGAGGTATACAGTTTTGTCATCCAAATAGCACCGTACAACCAGGACTTAACTGAGGACTGAAAACATCAGCCTTTTAAAACAACTTGGTGCTGTAGCTAATCCATAAGGTGCACACTCAAAATGAAACAGGCCCCCATGGGTAATAAATGCAGTGAGGTCTCTAATGTCCTTTTCCAGCTAAATCTGATGATATGCACTTTGTAGATCTAGGGTAGAAAATTATTTAGCTCCCCTGAGTTCTAAAAATACTTCCTTAATACGCAGCATGGGGTGACGATCAATAACAACAACTTTATTTGGTTCACAATGGTCAAACACAGTCGAATGCAGTCTAATACCTCCTGTTTTCTTCATTATCACATCAATAGGAGATACCCATTCAGATGCATCCATTTTTTAAATTACATATTGTTCCAGTAGTTTAAGGTCATGGGAAACAGCTTGTCTTACAGAGAAAGGTAAGCATCTCAATTTCTGACAAACTAGTTTCACATCTAATCACACTTTAATTTTGTGTAAACAAGTTATTTGCACAGCCCAGTGGGGTGTCACTGAGTGGTAAAACTATGGGCACTGGCAGCATAGGGACAACTAGAGCTGTTGTGATAAGACCATGAACTAATTGTACATTTAGTGCAATTAAAAGATCCCAGCCCAGTATAGTGATACCTTTCTTTACAATGTAGAATTCAGGTTGCATATTGCAGGCACAGGAATAGGCTCTAAGATAACTAACCAGTTTCAGAGTAGGTGCAGTGAGTGGTTAATTTGCAAAGTACTTCTGGTAGATTTCCTCAGGCAGTACAGAGACAGCAGACCCTGTGTCAAGCATCAGAATAATGGAATAGCCCTTGTTAGCAGAAGCAGTAGTAATACGTACTTTGTGCAAAAGTGTATCTGGAATGGAAGTGTCATGTTTATCTACACTTATGGTGGTAACTTAACCTTAATGTTACAAATCCGTCTAGCAGATGTACAGCAGATTTTTGAAAAACCAAAGAGACACAGGGAGCGAAACTCCAGTTTGTAGCCCTAAGATACCACCTCCTGCACTCAAGCATCTGAGATGCAAGCTGTTGAAGGGTCTACATAGATTAACAAACATCCCTCCACTCTGGAAAATGGGTGCGCACCTTCATGACGAGGAAGGCTTCTCTGAGGAGTTGGCTGGCTCTGAGTGCCAAACCTTGTGAGTGGATAGGGAGCCATGCTTGGGCTCGGGGGTTGTAATTTGTTATTTAGGCTTTTTCCATCGAGGAAGATGGGTGTCCTCACCACCAGTAGTATTATCAAGAGCTGGCCCAAAAACATGTTGTCTCTCAAAGTCCATGTGAAGCAGAATTTTTTTTTTACACAAGGGTTCCGCAGCACAGCACATTAGTCAAAATGCCATACAGTATGTACATTAACCAACATGAGACACATGCGGAAATGAGATGAGAGGCTTCCAGTAAACTATAACAGCTGAAGTTTAAAGCTATCTGTTCCATTAGTTTAATAAGCAAGGGAACAACGGGAGCAGTGTTTAGATCTATTTTATAGCATTTTGACCAATCA